TATCTGTCTCTCTCTTCAGAATTTCTGTCATTGTGGTCACAGCTTACTTACTATCCAGCTGCACAACTCTCTTGGCGGGAGCGGTTTGCGCCGATCTACGCGCGCAGCGCTTATGCCCCGCCTCTTGGGGTAAAAGACTGCATTGCCTGTTTGGCGTGCAATCAAGCCCAGTGTTGCCACGTTGGCCATTGTCCCGAATTCAATTCAATTAGGCAATAAAATGTATTAAACTCCTAACCCTAGTTTCATTGCAATATTACGTAATATTGTACAGCAAATTCTAAACGTTCACATTACAATACAGCTCAAAAATCCCCTACTACGGTACTGTGAAACGACCGCGCGATGAAAATTCGTTTAATCCGGCTCCGACTTTTACCCCAAGCGCGAGAAAGAGGGCACCATTCCATCTCGCTTGGTTGTAGACCGCCAGATCAAAGGCGCCGCTCGAGAGTTGCGGAGCTGGATAGTAAGTAAGCTGTGTTGTGGTTCCATCTTCTAGGTGGACTCTCTTTTAGATCTCCCCTGTACTGTACAGCATTTACTTGTCTATGGTTTCTTCTGTCTTGGTTTTCATGGTTTCTGTTATTTTGTTTTCACAATTTCTCTGCTCTTGATCTCTTCTTTCATAATTGTCTCTATTATCTCTTCTATCTTGATTTTTTCGGTTTCGATCATCTTGCCTATAATTGGTTCGATTTTGGTATTTGTCTATTGTGTTGTCTTGCTGATAAGTGTTTCTTCTGGAATTTGGATTGGCTTCTTGTATTCTCTCAAGCGTGTTGACCAGATTCTGTACTGTTTTCTCTCCGGACCCAATCAAAATATTCTCCACCTCTTGAGGGGAAGTGTTTGATTAAGGAATTAACTGATTGCCCTTCTCTGAGTGGAGGCTGACAATGGACCGTCTCTCCTACCCAGTACCATACGTGGTCCACACAACTTCCTCTGCCAGAATCATAGGACTTTGGTGTTGCTAATTTCAGCTTTATTTTATCCGAGCTGCTTTAAATTCCTTAACGTTATTCCATTCTTTGCTCCTCAATTGGGACCAAGATTTGGAACTACGCTGTGGGCTTTGTCTTGCTCAGTAACATCAAGGAATCTGGTAACATCGAAATCCTTCAAGTATTTTTGTACCGCCTTCATAAAATTGATGCGATGAGCAGGGGCGGACTGGGTAACTGCGGGCGAGGTGGAATTGCATAGGTTACGGGACATAGGGGGGGGGGGGGGTTAGCTCTGAGGTGCACCACAAAAACATTTTAAAGTACTCTTTTCTCGAAAATAAATTACCATACAGTTTTTTTTAAATTGCAGCTGATAATTAAAAATAACAAAATATACAATCCACACGAGGTGCGTCGCCTATCATTGTTTTTCAGCACTTTCATGCAATGACAAAAAATGATAAATTCATTGTAAAACACTTCAATTAAAACAGAATTTTTTAACAACCTAACATCAACCCCAATTAGAGAAACGTGTTAATAATTTATTAATAGTGCAAGAAACTAAATACAGCACATACTTATAAATTTCCAACGTGACATTATGATCTACAGCCCAAGTGGCAACTGCCACCCGCCCCCCCGGGCCAGTGCGCACCTGGTTATACACTGCCTTTTTTTGAGCCCCGAAAAAAACATTGTCTCAGATCGCCCCGGAAAAAAAATTTTCTTATAGAATGTGGCCTGTAGAATCCATAATTTCAAACAGTTCCAAGATTGGGCTACTAGTTCAAAAGTTACAGCCCTTTGAGTTTTTTTTCGAAATTGGTTTCTAGTCTATAACTTTTGATTGAGAAGTCTGATCGAAAAAGTACGAATTGATTTGGATTCTACGCACCCAAATTAATAAGAAGAAGTGTTTTCCCGAGAAATTTGGGTGTAGTCGATTTTTGGTAAAAAAGGAAGGTTATACACTGCCTTTTTTTGAGCCCCGAAACAAAAATTGTCTCAGATCGACCCGAAAAAAAAATTTTCTTATAGAATGTGGCCTGTAGAATCCATAA